GTCATGTATAAACTTCAGTGTCAAGGAGGTAGGATTTGGTCTGGATGTATGGGCTGTCATGTATAAACTTCAGTGTCAAGGAGGTAGGATTTGGTCTGGATGTATGGGCTGTCATGTATAAACTTCAGTGTCAAGGAGGTAGGATTTGGTCTGGATGTATGGGCTGTCATGTACAGACTTGAGTGTCAAGAAGGTAGGATTTGGTCTGGATGTATGGGCTGTCATGTATAAACTTCAGTGTCGAGGAGGTAGGATTTGGTCTGGATGTATGGGCTGTCATGTACAGACTTGAGTGTCGAGGAGGTAGGATTTGGTCTGGATGTATGGGCTGTCATGTATAAACTTCAGTGACAAGGAGGTAGGATTTGGTCTGGATGGATGGGCTGTCATGTACAGACTTGAGTGTCGAGGAGGTAGGATTTGGTCTGGATGTATGGGCTGTCATGTACAGACTTGAGTGTCAAGAAAGTAGGATTTGGCCTGGATGTATGGGCTGTCATGTACAGACTTGAGTGTCGAGGAGGTAGGATTTGGTCTGGATGTATGGGCTGGTTGCAAATACAGTTCCGTGATATATGGTCGGGAGGCGATGCCATCATGGGATCATGCTAGAATTGAGACAGTCGGTTGCATTCTATCAAATATCGTCCAAGGTTGAAATATTCTGAAATTGATTAGTGGGTCCCCCCTTAGCATTCTGGTTATCATCTCGTGGTGATAAAGGGCAGGGCCTATACTTTCAAAAAAAAGTTAAGAAATCGTAAGTTCATCAGCCAATTATTGACGGCTTTTGAAGCAAAATCCACGAATCATAGATAAGGAAATAGAGCGTAAGTACTTACGTTCACTTAGCGAGTTTTGACCTAGTGATGACAGTCATGATACCTAGTGATGACAGTCATGATACCTAGTGATGACAGTCATGATACCTAGTGATGACAGTCATGATACCTGGTGATGACAGTCATGATACCTAGTGATGACAGTCATGATACCTAGTGATGACAGTCATGATACCTAGTGATGACAGTCATGATACCTAGTGATGACAGTCATGATACCTAGTGATGACAGTCATGATACCTAGTGATGACAGTCATGATACCTAGTGATGACAGTCATGATACCTAGTGATGACAGTCATGATACCTAGTGATGACAGTCATGATACCTAGTGATGACAGTCATGATNGGCGATAGGCCACATCAGGCCCTGTCTCTTATACACATCTAGATGTGTATAAGAGACAGATATAACCCCACCTCCATATGTCTTGCCCGTGGCGGTGATGGCGTTGATGGAGAGGTTGGTGTTGATGTAGGGTAATAAAGTACTTATATAACCCCACCTCCATATGTTCCCCCCGTGGCAGTGATGGCGTTGATGGAGAGGTTGGTGTTGATGTAGGTAATAAAGTACTTATATAACCCCACCTCCATATGTCTTGCCCGTGGCAGTGATGGCGTTGATGGAGAGGTTGGTGTTGATGTAGGGTAATAAAGTACTTATATAACATTACCTCCATATGTTCCCCCCGTGGCAGTGATGGCGTTGATGGAGAGGTTGGTGTTGATGTAGGCAGGGCTGATGACGAGGTTGGTGTTGATGTAGGGTAATAAAGTACTTATATAACCCCACCTCCATAAGTCTCCCCCGTGGCGGTGATGGCGTTGATGGAGAGGTTGGTGTTGATGTAGGCTAATTTAAAGTACCTATATCACAACATTACCTCCATAAGTCCCCCCCGTGGCGGTGATGGCGTTGATGGAGAGGTTGGTGTTGATGTAGGCTGGGCTGATGACGGACACGGCGATGTTGTGGCAGGCGAGCTCGGCGCGCAGGCTGTCCATGAAGCCCTGTAGCGCATGCTTGGACGCGCAGTAGCTCGACCTGCGCATAGCAACATGCCATATTTATGCCCTTAATATTTATTATATTTTATATTTAACTGTTTATATTTCGCGTGTAGCGTCGCAACAACCCATATTTATGCCCTTAATATTTGAACAGTATGAACAGTTTATACCTCGCGCTACTAAACATTAAGCGCTGAAATTAGCTCGACCTGCGCGTCGCAACATGCCATATTTATGCCCTTAATATTTGGTGCAAACAATTAATATTTGAACAGTTTATACCTCGCTTGTATATATTTCAGTACTAAACATTTGGCGCTGAAATTAGGCGGTGGTGCCGGTATATTTACCCCCCGAATTACCAAACTTAATTACGGCAATAAGCAAGCTAGCCACCACCATGGCTGACGATGCATTTGTTTAGAATCCAACAGACAAGCTACATTATCTCAGATAATTATTAATTAATTAATAGCTAATTAATGTAATTAGATAATTATTATAATTAGATAATTATTATTAGATAATTATTTCAAGGGTGCTTTGCTTCAACAACTAACTAAATCAAGGGAACTAGCGAAGCTGAATTACGAGTAAAGCTTGCATCAACTTAAAAATAGGACAATTAAATTGATATCTCCACACAAAACTGTTTCATTGTCTCACAGACCAAGTAATTGTAGAGGAACAAGAGTTTATCTTAGATCGATCAGATCTTAGCTCAATGTTTTCTAAGCCTGATCTTAAATTAGTCCAATGTTTTCTCAGCCTGACTATCTTAGACCGATCATATCTTAGCTCAATGTTCTCTGAGCCCCTTAAGCAATTTGGCTATTATCAATTTGCAAATATAGCAATATTATCTCTCTATATATATATATATATAGCAATATAGCAAATTGGCAAATTGCTTATTTAAATAAATATATTATCAATTTGCAAATATAGCAAATAAGCAATTGTGCACAATGCCAGCAATAATAATAATAAACATACAGGGAGCAGCACGGTGCCCTGCAGGCTGTTCTTATCAGCATTAACTGATAACACAAAAGATCAGCGATAAGGACCTGTAAGGTATGGCAAGGCGGCCCTGCAGGCTGTTCTTATCAGCATTAACTGATAACACAAAAGATCAGCGATAAGGACCTGTAAGGTATGGCGAGGCGGCCCTGCAGGCTGTTCTTATCAGCGTTAACTGATAACACAAAAGATCAGCGATAAGGACCTGTAAGGGATGGCGAGGCGGCCCTGCAGGCTGTTCTTATCAGCATTAACTGATAACATAAAAGATCAGCGATAAGGACCTGTAAGGTATGGCGAGGCGGCCCTGCAGGCTGTTCTTATCAGCATTAACTGATAACACAAAAGATCAGCGATAAGGACCTGTAAGGTATGGCGAGGCGGCCCTGCAGGCTGTTCTTATCAGCGTTAACTGATAACACAAAAGATCAGCGATAAGGACCTGTAAGGGATGGCGAGGCGGCCCTGCAGGCTGCTGATGCTGATGATGTGGCCGCTGCCTTGCTTCTTCATGGCCGGCAACACACCTGCAACAAACACAAACAACTCTTGTCCGGTATATCAAAATATTTTTATCTATTGAATGATATCTTGCATATATATACCGCTGCAACAAACACAAACAACTCTTGTCTAAAATTATTAAAAATTATTTAAAAATTATTTATCTATTTAATGATATCTTGCATATATATATGCAACAAACAAAAACATCAACAAGTGTTGTCCGGTATTACCAAAATTATTTATCTATTCAGCAACATCAGCAACTCTTGCCCGGTATATCGAAATTATTTATCTATTGAATGATATATTGCATATACAGTATATATACCGCTGGAATAAAGATCAACAAGTGTTGTCTGGTATTACTAAAATTATTTATCTATTTAATGATATCTTGCATAGGTATATATACACCTGCAACAAACATCAACAACTGTTGTCCGGTATATCAAAATTATTTATCTATTGAATGATATCTTGCATATATATATGCTGCTCAGCAACTGTTGTCCGGTATATCAAAAT